AAGCACCTCTGCATACAGAAGGACACTCCAAGATACATACATTCAATTGCCACCAGCCTGATACCCTATCCGTCGGGATATGGAAATGTCAATCGGCTGTCAACAAAGCTGACTTCATTTCTGCTTTTGCCTGTCAGTCAAAACGTAATGTTTTGGCTCTGACTGAAACATAGATCTCAGTAGAGAACCACTCCTGCCACTCCTTTAGCCCTCTGACATCACTTTCCCCCACGTGGGGACAGGTCTACTCATTTCCGACAGCTGGAAATTCTCTCATCTCTCTTCTATGAATATTATGATATCACTGTTACTAATCCTGCCAAACTTTATCTTATTGTCATCTACCACCCACCAGGTCAACTAGGCACATTTCTGGAAGAGTTGGATGTGTTACTGTTTTCTTTTTCGGAAGATGACACGCCGCTGGTAGTTGACTTCAACATCCACCTAGACAAACCTCAAGCAAATGATTTCCTTACACTCTAAACAATGCTGGTTTGTTTATACCCAAATTTGGGTAAAATATGGACAAAAAAAATAATCAAATTTTAACCCAACTTCAACTTTTTTTAATTGCATTTTTAACCCAACATTTGGGTTTGTCCATATTTGACCCAAATATGGGTTGAAACAATTTTTTAGAGTGTACTCTTCTAGCCTTGCTCGACCAGCGCACCGCTGCGATACAAAAAGCAGGCGAAGAGCTAGATCTCATCTTCACATGCAAAGGTACGATTAGGGATGGGTACCGAAACCCGGTATTAAACGGGCCCCGGTACTGAATTTTGAAAGACCGCTGTATCGATAAGCTCGAACGTTATCGGTCCTGCTGTCGGTACTGGAGAAATTATTTATCATTCCTATAAAGACGTTATCTTGAACATGTTTATATCGCCAGCCTTTTCTATAAACTATATTTTAATTAAACCATTTGTCTGTGATGCAAATTTGCAATTCGCAGTTCAGCAGAGAGAGAGAGAAGAGAGAGAGCGATCTCTCACGCAAAGCCACAGCACGCGCAACACGACAGCCCTGCTTAATGAGTGACTGACAATGAGGACAGAACTAAACATTCAACGTAGTTACACTTTAGATCTGGGATATTATTCTAATATATTTTGTATTGCGGCTTCCAACGATTATAAAAAGAAGATATTTGAGATAAAACCGTTAAAAAACAAGACGCATGATCTGTCCAGCTTAAACTTCCTTTACTTCACAGCACTGCGGAGCGCTGTCAGTTCTTCCTAAAACCCAAACGTAACCGTCAGAATCAGCACGATCGGCGATTGTTGCAAAATGCTGTCTTCTACTGTTGCAAGATTAAGAAAATGACTATTAAAAACACAAAAGCCTGCGCAAGAGACGCCGTTCACAAGGCGGTGCGCGCTCCGAAACGGACTGCAACGAGACAAAAAAAGTAGCCTATATACTTGGGCTTCGTGTGTCCTCCTTAACTATCAAATATACATACAAATGTCAAAATGACCAGCTCTAAGATTCGCTTAAACATAGTTTATTCACTTAAACACAATTATGTCTTAAATGGACGTAAATAATAGGGAGAAATTGATGGTGCTTCAGTTACCGGTTACCGATTAGATTTGCTCTCGGTCTTAAAGGGGCAGCAGTCTAATAGCCTAAACCTGCTGACGATTCAGCCATTAATGCAAATCAAACAACAAAAGGCAGAGAAAATCACTCACAGCTTTTGAATGAGTAACTTTAGATTTAATAAGCATTAATCTATCTATGATAAACTAGTGCTATTTTATATTTGATTACTAAATTAGGTTTCTTTTCAGACAGAAACAATTACCTGAAAAGATATGTTAGTAGACCTTCCTGAAATTAAAGCACTTTTTTATATAATTTGTAAAAAAAAATATTTTTCTTCGTTTTGCTTTTTCTATTTTACATTTCAAAATATAGAGTTTAATTATGTTCTTAATTCTTTAAAAAAAAAAAAAAAAACACAAAAAAGAACCGATAAGAATACCGTTAAAGTACCGGATCGATAAGCGGTATCGGTAAGAGTAGTAATACCGCTAAAACCTTAACGATACCCATCCCTAGGTACGATTGATAATCATCTTGTTACTCCACTATACCTTTCTGACCACTGTTTTGTCCTGTTCTCTGTCACTCTGCCTTCATGCTCACCACTGAATCCTCCTTTGCCACTGAATTCTCTATTTCCTGCACACTTTTCCTCTGTGGTCTCTGCACCCTTTCCTGCCACTAACCACTTCTCCTCTCTGGATTTCAAAGAAGCAACAGACACTATAGACAGGACCTATTTTAACAATCTAAGCGATCTAACGATCTTGTTGGTGCCAGACGGGCCGGTCTGAGTATTTCACAATCTGCTCAGTTACTGGGATTTTCACGCACAACCATTTCTAGGGTTTACAAAGAATGGTGTGAAAAGGGAAAAACATCCAGTATGCGGCAGTCCTGTGGGCGAAAACGCCTTGTTGATGCTAGAGGTCAGAGGAGAATGGGCCGACTGATTCAAGCTGATAGAAGAGCAACTTTGACTGAAATAACCACTCGTTACAACCGAGGTATGCAGCAAAGCATTTGTGAAGCCACAACACGCACAACCTTGAGGCGGATGGGCTAAAACATTAGAAGACCCCACCGGGTACCACTCATCTCCACTACAAATAGGAGAAAGAGGCTACAATTTGCAAGAGCTCAACAAAATTGGACAGTTGAAGACTGGAGAAATGTTGCCTGGTCTGATGAGTCTCGATTTCTTTTGAGTCAGAATTTGGCGTAAACAGAATAGGCTATGTGCACAACCGTAGTTTCAAACTTCCGCTTTTGTCAGAAGTTGGCGTATCAGTTTCCGGTCTACGACTGGTCATCCGCATCTACTAATAAACAAAGAAGATGAGTGCTGCTGTTGTACGAAAAAAAGAGTTCTTAGACACATCTAAGTTTCTCAGAACTGTAGTGGATCTAACGTCCGTTTCACACCCGTTTGCAGTGTGTGTTGCGGTGCAGAAGCGTGCTGTTAGTGCGTTCACATATTATGATGCGTTAAAAAGTTGTGTGTCAGCATTGCGATTCTTAGTATGCACGTTTAAACACAATTTAAGCAATGTAAGTTACTCCATGCATTACAAGTTGCTCAAGCAAGTGGTCAAATATTTCCTATATTAAAATCGAAAATAATTTAAATTAAAACTTGAAATTGACAAAAGCAGCCGACTTGCCTTTTCGTTTGCATCTTAATTTTAAAACAATAGATCTTGCATGTCACAAAACTTATTTTTCCACCTCCACGGTCGAGACGAGTTCATTCTGTCGCCTGGCTGAAGTAAATTGTAGTTTTCCTTGATTAAATGTGCATTTATGGTGAGATTACTACATTTTATTTAATTAAACGCATTTATGGTGAAATTACTACATTTTCAGGTCAATCATTTTGACCACCAGCGTTTGCAGCACAGCAGAAATAGATTCGGCGTGGAAACGATCGCTGTGCTGCTGTTATATGTACCACATCAGTGAAAAGTGAAAGCCCTAACCTGTTTACATGGTGCGTTAGGAGACTGCTGTGTGGCACTTTGCTCGGCTTCAAGTCGCTAACAGCCATTTGAGCCATTCTACTGCTTCCTGATAAACACCAACCTTCGTGCGCAGTGGCTGCACAAAATAGACATTTTGATCGACGCGCAAAAAATAATACAAATATTAAGTATGTGTTTGTTGTACAGCCGCGGATCAGTTATTCACTGTGCAAACGCATCATTATGTGAACGCACTAACAGCACGCTCCTGCACTGCAAACGGGTGTGAAACGGAGGTTACATCCACCTACAGTTCTTAGAAACTTTGATGTGTCTAAGAACTCTTTTTTTCGTACAACAGCAGCACTCATCTTCTTTGTTTATTAGTGGATGCGGATGACCAGTCGTAGACCGGAAACTGATACGCCAACTTCTGACAACAGCGGAAGTTCGAAACTACAGTTATGCACATAGCCCATGAGAACATGGATCCATCATGCCTTGTTACCACTGTGCAGGCTGGTGGTGGTGGTGTCATGGTGTGGGGGATGTTTTCTTGGCACACTTTAGTCTCCTTAGTGCCAATTGGGCATCGTTTAAATGCCACGGCCTACCTGATCATTGCTTCTGGCCATGTCCATCCCTTTATGGCCACCATGTCCCCATCCTCTGATGGCTACTTCCAGCAGGATAATGCACCATGTCACAAAAGCTCGAATCAATTTCAAATTAGTTTCTTGACCATGACAATGAGTTGACTGTACTAAAATGGCCCCCACAGTCACCAGATCTCAACCCAATAGAGCATCTTTGGGATGTGGTGGAACAGGAGCTTCGTGCCCTGGATGTGCATCCCACAAACCTCCATCAACTGCAAGATGCTATCCTATCAATATGGGCCAACATTTCTAAAGAATGCTTTCAGCACCTTGTTGAATCAATGCCACGTAGAATTAAGGCAGTTCTGAAGGCGAAAGGGGGTCAAACACAGTATTGGTGTGGTGTTCCTAATAATCCTTTAGGTGAGTGCATATATACACAGACTATTGTTTCAAATGTCAGACTTTACAGGATAAAATTAAAGCATGGGTACTGTAAAATGTTACTCAGTTAAAAGCATCCAAACAAAAACGTACAAGCCAGGCCTCACATTTGAAGAGTGGAAAGAACTGCCACAATCTCTACTAATACAATACATACTACAGTACTATTCAACAACTTGAAGGCAACTAATGTGATTTAAAAAAACACAGCTGCTTCAAAATTCCTTAATGAGGCATGACGGTGTGTAATTTATGTCGCAATATTTACTCCACAGCTCTGTTGTCATTATAAGCAAATTAGGCCACACAAGGCAACATAAAGAACAGTATCAGCATCTGACTAATATCTTTGCATTCGTGTATATTTGAGTCATTTGTCCATACCATTTTGCCTGTTTGTGTGTGTGTGTGTGCAAAACCTTTATGCAGTCATTACCTGTGGATGATGTGTTTGTTGCGCAGGTAGTGCAAAGCCAGGGCGATTTCACACACATAGTGCTTCACAGTGCTCTCTGTAAAGTGCACATTCTGTTGTAGATGATAACGCAGGTCTCCTCCCAGCAGCAGGTCAACTACCATGAACATGTCCTCTTCGTCTTGAAATGAGTACCTGCATTAGACACATTATGACAGTGTTGTTATCTTTGAAATCCAGATTTAATTTTTTTATTTTTACACGGTCTAATTTTAAAGGCCAAATATGCGGCCAAAAATGAATTTTCGTTTTGAAGGACTGAAATCATCGATGCAGTGTTTTGACAGTATTGTCTGCTGGGTTGACAATACCAATTTGTCTTTTGAACAAAACTTCACAAAAGAATATGTGTAGTGCGCCTGCTGCCTAGCATCCAATAATCACACTATGCTTTGTGCTCAGTGACTCAGAGTGAGCTTTCAAATTTTGTCAATTTCATCACGAAATTCAAACAATAGATGTTGTTTTGACACATGACAGATCGCTATAGGCGCTGTTTCACCGAATACTGTGATAAGTGCGCCTACTGCGGTCACAGAATTCGATGGTCACAGAAATCAGTGCATCATCTCAGCGAGGAGGGCAGTGAATTGATCGTCTCTTTTGTAGAAGTTAGAGTACAATATAAACATGATGAACAACATTGTATTACGGCCATCATTTAAATATTTATTCTTGTTTAAATATGTATAATTGGAGTATAAACATAATTATTAGTGCGGTCAAACGATTAAAATATTTAATCACGATTAATCGCATTAATGGAATAGTTAACTCGCGATTAATCGCAATTAATCGCACATTTTTCTCTATTCTAAATGGCTCTTGATTTGTTTTTGTCGCATCATTTTTTCTAATATTAATGCTCTTATCAACATGAAATAGTGGATCGGTATGCTTTGTAGGGCTGGGTATTGACACAAATTTCACAATTCGATTCGATTTCGATTCACAAGCTTCCAATTCGATTCGATTCCGATTCGATTCAATATTGATTATCTGGGATATCAGTTACAATAAATGGCAAATTTTCTCAAGGAAATCAAATCTCTTAACTAATGCTGTAAACTATGGGAGTCTAGTTGTAGCATAGGCTTCATTAGCCTAATATGAAGGTAATAATGAACTGTTTTGTAGTTATACAAACACTTAAATTACACTTTTATTTATTTTTATAATAAGAAGAGTATATGAAATATAAACATTTAAATGGTGGCTGTCATAAAAACTTGCCAGATTTATTCAAATATGCATTAAATATTGAAGAATATTAAGATTATAATGCATATGTAATATGGTGTATATATTTAGCAAAATGCTCCTCTCTGGAGTTATTTTTTCTAGCTGACTAACGAGTTTATGTGGGTTTTCTGAGGTAAATATGACGATGACATTGATTACAAGCTGTTTAACTGACGTCTTTCCACGGTTGAAACGCTGATTGAGCGAATCAATGTGTCATGATACGGATTTCGATAAGTTGTATTTTATCTTTTAACACACTTTCAGATACTCATTCATGTTTATTTGGCGCTGTGACTGGTATTATTAACCCGGAAGAGAGATCAGCGCTGCTGCTTCTCTTGAGCTCAAATAAAACAGGATGATTAATCGATTCTTGAGATTTAAGAATCGATATTGGTTCGTAAAAATGAGAATCGATTAGTATCGAGAAATTGATATTTATTACCCAGCCCTAATGCTTTGTCCAAATGTTTTTTATTGAAAACAACATTGACATATACAGAGTTCAATTTCACACTAAAACATTCTCAATTAGAGTAAAAAATCTCTCACACAATGTATCAAAAAAGGGTGAAAGAAATAGCTACTGACGAGGTCCTGATATTGACGAGGGGGTGGAGAATTCGCATCAGCTGTGTGTGTGTGTGTGCTTGGCCATCAATGATAGCTCAGTTCACAATGTCAAAAAAAAAAAAACTTTTTAAAAGTACACTTTCTATTCAGAATCTTATTGGCATCCATTTCGGCGTCTCGCGCTCGTCATCCACTCAAAACGTAACGTTAACCAACTATTTGGCCGGCTCGCAACAAGTGTGTTTCCGGTCTAGCTAGATCTGGTGCTTTAAGACAAGACGCAGAATGCGCGGCGCTACGGCAGTTTTTAAAATTTTTTGGATGCCAAAAAGTTTTTATTGGGCGCGCTGGTAATCGCCACAGCGGCAAAAGTTGAACTATTTTGAAATTCGACCGCGGTGTGCAGTTTAGCCATTGAAAATTAATGGGGTTCATAGAGCCGCGCCGCGCATGCCACATCCTGTTGCAAAAGCATGTGAAAAAAAACTACAAAGTTTGCTAGACCAAAAAGACGTTAAAATGGGTTTGCGTTAACGCCATTAATAACGCGTTTAACTGACAGCTCTAATAATTATATAATTCAAATGTTGATGTAAAACTGCAATTCAGATGTTTTTATACAACTCGGTTTTGGTTGATTATAACATTAATTTGATGAATAAATCCGTATTTTCGGTGTCGTTTTTTTAGTTTATTGAATTCAGCATAATGTAAGTGCAGCTGGTATACTTATACACATGCTCGTTAATGCCAACATCTACTAAGCCAATCATGTGGCAGCAACCCGATCCTTCTTGGGCAGAAATGTGATCGAAGTGACTTTGACTGTGGAGTGATTGTTGGTGGCAGGCAAGGTGGTTTGAGAATCTCAGAAACAGCTGATCTGGGATTTTAATGCACCATAAACAGTCTTACAGTGAATGCAGAAAACAAAACACAAACACCCAGTGAGCGACAGTTCTGTGGCTGACAAGCCCTTGTTAATGAGAGAGGTCAAAAGAGAATGACAAGACTGATGACCGGCCTTGTGTGAGCAGTTCAGGCTGGCTGTGGTGTAATAGTAGGGTGCCATATCACAAGGATCATGCTGTGTAAAGTTGTTACCCATCAATCAATCAATCAATCAATCAGTGACTGACATATATCAGAAAACACTCATCTTATTTTGCAAACGCTCCCTTTGCGCCGCACCTCAACTCAAACATCTTAAACACAGCTCTTACAAGTAGACTTCTTACAATAAAAGGTCCCACCTACAGTATTAGGAATACATTTATCTGTGCTGCTATGTCACGAGTAAGCAATTGAGAAGGCAAACGCTGTCTAAAGTGAATGTGTTTTGCACTGGCTGCATTTTTTAACATGATGCACAACAATTTGAGCAGAAACATCATAAACCGGAACATTTGTCTTTCTGAATACAGTAGGAGCATGCAAATGTTGTATTGAAGCGTCCAATTTATGCGCATTTGATCGCTTTGCAATGCCCCATTCACTTTGACATGCTCATGATCAATAACCAGTAATGTTGTGCAGTCGCAACCCACAGCCAGGCTTGTGACATAATTAAAACACAAACTCCAGAGGAACGCTTTCCACTCAGTTCCTGCTACGTTATAAATTGTCTTGGTTTATACTTTGTTATTTATACAAAGGGACTCCACTCATGGGGAGGGACTAATGTCTGCACTGAATGTGAGGATGCCTGCTTCTCCTATGCCAGTCTTTTAGTTCTATATTGCTGAGTCAACTGAGTTTGGATGTGCTAAAAGCTGAATGAAGCCGTCACACCTGTGAGCCAAAAACTGTGTTGTCTGCCACTCTCAGTTTGGAGTGCTGTGTCAGAGGAATTAAATCACTTGCAAGTAGCGGGAGTGATAGAACGCATCGATGCCTCTGCATTAGAGCCCGACCGATAAAGTATTTTGAAGGCCGATACCGATACAAATATTTTTGGGTTATAAAATCCGATATTCCGATATATCAGCCGATATTTTATTTAATTATTTATTTATTTATTTTAAACTGGACATGATAGTCACAAATTTTGTCATGCTTATTTGAGTTAAGAGAACTGATGGGGATGATCTTTTAATTGTTTTTTAAGCAATGTATGTCTCGTGACCAACTCAACGAGTGTTACCAACAGGAACGGTGTAGAGTGCCCTCTGGTGGACAAACTATACAACTCCAACACTCATGACATGGTTCAAGCGTGTTTACTCCGTTTTTATGTTATTTTTGAAATTCATTAATCGGCCGTTATAACTGCCGATACCGATAGTTTGGAAAATGCCTAATATCGGCCGATAATATCGGTCTGCCGATATATCGGTCTGGCTCTACTCTGCATTGGTCTCACCAATTGTTATGAAGAACAAGTCCGGTAAAATTAGGGTATGCGTTGACCTCAGAGAGCCAAATAAGGCAGTGATCTTGGACTCTTTTCCATATCGTTGACCTGACTAATGCTTACTAGCAAGTGCTGCCGCATGAGGACCGTCGGGACTCCCTTGCTGATTATCTGTCACGTTTGCCCTTACCAGCTTCTCCTGCAGATAATGCTGTTTAGCTCCTGTTGATTGTTGCTTCTAATTCTCTGTTTTCTGCTAATGTTGATGCTGCATGTGGATGGTTGTCCTTTGACAAAGAGAAGGGGTGTAACCTCGGCATCCTGGCCAAATTTGCCCATTGGCCTCTGTCCGTCATGGCCTCCTAATCATCCCAATATACTGCTCACTCGGTCTCTTCTCCACCAGTAAGATGGTGTGTGTTGGGCGTTCTGGCGCAATATGGCCGCCGTCGCATCATCCAGGTGATTTACCACACTTTGTACACAGATTTGGCCTCCTTCACCCAAGGGACTGGACGTTGAGTTGTTGGCATACTGTAAACTGTGACTTGGACCATCTGTTTTCACTTTTAAAAAAACTTTTGCTGATAATTTACTCACCCCCATGTCATCCAAGATGTCCATGTCTTTCTTTCTTCAGTCGAAAAGAAATTAAGGTTTTTGATAAAAACATTCCAGGATTTTCTCTGGACTTCAATGGGAACCAAACGGTTCAAGGTCCAAATGAGAGTTTCAGTGCAGCTTCAAAGGGCTTTAAACGACACCAGACGATGAATAAGGGTCTTATTTTATCAAATGCTCGCCTTGCTCTGTTCTGTGATGAGCGTTCGTGACTCTCCTGTTCAAATCTTTTTTCAAGTCATGACTCGAAGGGTCCTAGATAAGACCCTTATTCATCGTCTGGTGTCGTTTAAAGCTCTTTAAAGCTGCACTGAAACTCTCAATTGGACCTTGAACCGTTTTG